ATGCGAGAATGCTCAATACTCTTTTCATATTATATATTATTATTATTATTATATTTTTGTAGTTGGAGAATTTTGAATTCATATGTTAGAAATGATTTCAGAAATGCGTCTAGAAGTGCCGAAGAATTATTGTAGCAAATGTATATTAAGCTAATTGAATGTTGTAAGCCCTTTTAGGGTAGGTTCCTGTATTGTCAATTAAATATAATATTTTTTCGCGTATCTTGTGTGTACTTTATCCAAAACTAAATAACTTATATTAACTAAAAGTTACTAATATAAACGTTTAGAGATTTTATTTCTGAAAATAAATATTTTGAGATATTTATTCCATTGCAAATATAAAATTATAATTTATAGCATTATATGTGCAGTGTATTTACATAATCAGTTGCAGAATTTTGTATAAATCGTGTATCTAAATCAAAAATTTCCATAATATTCTAAGGATCACAGCTAATAAGACCATCGTAAACGTCACTATTCCATATTTCGATGGCTTTTCGTAGGGTAATCTGGAAACAATGCCTTGCGGTAGAGGAGACCTCAATGCCGGAGACACACCTTTACCGATCGGTTCTCCCTTCATAGAGAACTTCGTCGCTTCTATAATCCTTACGTCAATCATTTTTCCCATGTACTCCTGCTTTAACGGAATCAACACCTGTTCGTAGAATTTGTTATGGCCCACGTAATGCTGCTTATCATGCGATACCTCTGTTACTAACACCTTCTGTATCAGCCCCACTTTGTGTCCGTATGGTTCGTACGACTGGAAGAATTCCGACAACCTCTTGGTTCTAGTTTTCACTTTTTGCGCAGGTACCTTCGGCATTCTAGCAGCCGGCGTGCCGGGTCGAGAGAAGAACTGATTGATAAAGAGGCTTGGGAACTTGTACTTTTGACAGAGTGTCATTGTCTCTTCAAAATCCATCTCAGTTTCCGTAGGGAAACCGCAAATAATGTCTGTGGCAATAGTCAAACCAGGCACTCGCTCGCTCAGAAAGTTTACTACATGCTCGAATTCGGCACGTGTATACTCCCGCTTCATGTCAGCTAGTATCTGATCACTACCGGACTGTACCGGAATATGTAGGAAGCTATAGACCTTAGGATGCCATAGAATCTTAGCCATTTCATCCAGATGTTCCAAGATATATGGTGGATTAGTCATACCGACGCGCATCATACAACCATCAGGAATCACATCTACCAATTGCCACAGTAGTTTTGGTAAGCTAGTGCCAATGTCCCTACCATAGGCACCTGTATCTTCCGATGTGAGCCACAACTCACATACACCCTCCTCGAAAGCTTGCTTGGCTCGTTCGACTATCTCTTCTAGAGGATAACTACCTAGTTCACCTCGTGCATGTTTTGTTTTGCAGTAGGTGCATTGATTCAAGCAGCCTGTGTTAATGGCTATAATCTCGATAAGCGGATTCCGGCGTACTTTTGGAAGATTCAGTGAAGCTCCGCCTGTCTTCTTACCAAGATCCTTCTTCTGCTGTAAGAATTTGACTGTATTTCCTTTCAAAGTTTCTTCCACAACTTCTACTACTCGATCAATTTGTTGTACTCCAATCACACTCAATCCTTGAAGGAAAGAAGATTTTGGAGCACCTTGTGGTACACATCTATAAGATACAAATAGAATGTTTAGAATCTTAAGACAATTCTAAAATAATTTTTAAAATTAGAAAGTTCACTGTACTGCTAAAATTCTATACTAATCTTCAATTAAATACAAGTATCAGATAACAGAATTTAAAATAATGATATTACATTATAAGTAATACATTATCAAATTCTTGTTCTACCATTGCAGTTGCATAATTACATACCCAGCAACTACAACGTGCTTGCCAATTTTCTTTCCATATTCTATTTCATTCCTAAATTGATCTTCTGCAGGACTCTTCACAGTGCAAGAGTTCAGAAGCCACAAATCCGCTTTTAGTTTATCCTCGGTCAAATTATAACCATACGACGCCAATTGACCGGCCATATATTCGGTGTCCGAGCTGTTGTGCGTGCATCCCCATGTTTTCACATAAATCGTTTGCGTGCCAGGTATTATGCTCGACAAGATAGACGGCTGCGATACTTCCTCTTGCAATTGCTTTCTTCGCTTTGGTCGTATCGTGATATGTTTCCGCGAGCTATATCTCTCCTTAGGCGTTATGTCCTGGGACGCAATTAAATCCTCGATGTCCTCGATAATTTCCTCGCATGGAGTAGGCATGTTTGTTAAAAACAAAAACGATTTCTAAGAAATTGTCCACTGTACTCGTAAAACGTGTTACCTTAACAATTTGAGGTTACGTGTTACTGAATTAACACATCCAATATAAATTTCATTATCTTAAAATTATCAGAAAATTGTAACAAATAACAAGAATCTCATGTTATTAATTGTTCAGCTATTATTTATACCTATTTTATATGTAAATGCACAGGTTTTTAAGAATAGAATTAAAATAGATTAAGGTTAGGTTATATGAAGTTTTTACATAAGATGCCATCTAGAGATATTTTCGTTTATTAGATATCTAAAGAAAAGTTGAGATTTTATCGTTAATTGATAAAATATATTTAAAAAAGTGTTTATATTAATTAAATCTTCCCTAGGAATTTTTTGAAATTGATTTAAAAAAATTTTGAATAGTTAGTGCAGTATGACATATTTTACTAATTTTAAGAACATAAATTTCTAAGATTATTAAAAATATCAATGATTAAAAAGCATATTAATAATTTTCACTTACAGAACAGAACTATAATATTTTTGGAATTGATTAATATATGACTGGAATATCTATTTCAATCAATGTAAATTAAATTATTCTTGGTTTAATTTATTTTTATTTTTTTTAATTTACTTTTTAAATAAGTAGAATCAGAAAAAATAAATATTATGTTAAACTAAGATTAAAGTTACATTATTGTTGTTACATTGATAGAAATAAATAAAGACTCCTTAAAATGTTGAAAATATTTTACGAAATTATTAGAAAGATATCTATATGATACATTTTGAGTTGCTTTACATCTCGATTTATGACGCATTTAAAACGTTTTAATTCAGATTTCTTTTAAATATATGTATGTAATATTTAAATGTCAATTTATATATATTAATGTTTATGTCATTTTTATTTGCATTTAATTACAATGAATAAAACGATAATGCAGTTACACATACCTACTCTCGTCTATAGATTCGATGAGAGCATCTAATTTTTTAAAAAGTTACTAAATTAAATCAATTTAATTAAAAATTTAATAATTATAAATACAAACGAAAACAAAAGTTATTGATGATAAAATTGGTATATAATATATGTATATTGCGATAAAAGATTGTTATATGAAAGAATTACTGTATTTTATTGATTATATCGCTCAAAAGGCTATATCTACGAGATACCCGGGAGAAAATGTTATATAAGTGAACGAATTTTATATATAATTATATTTAATTGTATATAAAATATATTAAATTTTTATGTAATTATATATGAAACACTGTCCCAGGTATCTACAAGATTCAATTATAAAATTTTTATAATTATCTCAAGTGTAAATTTTAGATGATTTTTAATAGAAAATAACAAACAGAGTATATATTTATTATCTACAAATAAAAAAATAAATTGTAGCACAATCTTCTTGAAAAATATTACTATGCAAAATCTGATATAAGATTTGATATAATTCACATAAATCTATATTTTTTTATATTGGCAAGAAAAAAAATATTATCCGTTTAATTTATATTTAACCGTTGGACACACATTCAAATTAAAGATTCAGAAAAATATAAAACATTTTGAACGCAAACAAGTTATTCTCGTAATTGTTTTTGTTTAGGTTCATTGTCTGTGACGGATGTGTCTTATTATGCTCGACTTTCATACTTGTACGATCAGTTTGTTGGAGACTGTCGTCGAGTTTCGTGGAGAAAATAATGGTTTCCTAAACACTTGTCCTATTAATTTTCATATTGCTAATTTTGACTTTTAGGCATTAGTCATTTTTCGCATAACGCATTATTTGGATTAAACAGGTTTGATTTATTTTCTCTTTTAATGAATAATTTTAATTTGAAATCTTTTGAGAATTGAATATATACGTTTGATTATATAGATACATATAATAGGTATATACTATATATATTGTGTATTCTTGATGATCTTATAATTAGCATTTATGCTTCGTTAAAAAGAAATTCATAATATTTGTATTGAATCATATCAGAATTTTTTTTTTAATACTTTAGAGAGAAAGAGGGAGAGAGATAATTACGAATCAAGTTATCTTGATTTTGAATTCTAAATCAATATAATTTACAGATTCATATATAATAATACGTAATCTATATTTATTATGTCCATGTATTTGATACTAGTCTTGTATTATGATTATAACAATAATTAAGTGCTTCTATATTTATATTTTTATTAAATAATTTTAATACATATATAAATCTTATATACTGTTATATATCTATTACTAAAATTTATTTATATTGTTGTTCAATATATTGTTGCACTATATATTTGTACAATAATTGAATTAATTATTAAAAATAACATTATTCTTTTAAAGTATATGTATATACATATATGTGTGTATCAGATTAATGACGATGCTCTTATTTACGAAATAATTATTTATTTGTTTTATACAAAATAATTACTTTTAAAATATTATCTTATTATTAATATGGTTTTTACATAATGTTTAAATATATTGAGTGTAACGGCAATTGTTAAAGAGAATCATAGGTTGGTATACTCTTGTTTCGTGTGTATAATTATCCACACACGTACACACACATATATATATTTTTTAAAAGGATCTGAAATATAGGATTGCGAATATTTAATGGATAATTTTAATTATATATATCTAAAAAAAGGATATGTATAGCATTATTATCTATAAGAGAAAATTAGCAATTCAAATTATGAGAGATTTATTTGTATATAGTCATCATGTGGAGGATAATAGTGTTGTGGACCGTGATCATGGGTCTAGCTACCAGTGACATGGTTAGCTATGAAGGTTACAAAGTCTTCACCATTTACCCATCTGTTGATAAGCAACTGAAATTACTTCAAATGTCCATGAAACAAGTAAATTGATCATTTAGATAAAAATTAAAATACGAACATTATTGTTAACAATTTATTGCAAATTTTTTGTCTAATAAATCAATATCAAACTAATTGATTTTATTGATGTTTAAAATAGCATAAATTTTAACACATTTTATGTTATCCGAGATAAATAAAATTAATTTGTTAGACATTTAAAATAACTTATAAATAAAATGTCATGAAATTAAGAATAGGACAAAGAAATACATAGATTCAGTCAATTAGTTTAAGATTAAATTTTAGTCAAACGAAATTGCGAATTAAATCTTATTTTACAGTACAGTTCTTGGTTCTGGAAACAACCAAGTACGCTAGACAAAGAAGTTCAAGTTATGATACCTCCGAGTCAGCTCCAGACTTTTTATGAAGTTGTACACGTTACGAATACACCCCTTAAACTCGAAATTAACAATGTCCAAAAACTAATTAAGAATACAATACCTGAGAATCAATCGCAGGGTTTTGATTTTCAAAACTATCATACTCTTGAAGAAATCTACGAGTATCTGGAAGAGCTGGCTAAGAAGTATCCCAATAAAGTACAGGTCGTTGTAGGCGGGAAAACATACGAAGGACGCCAAATTAAGGGTGTTAAGATAACTAATCACGAAAACAGTCCTGGAATCTTCATCGAAGGTGGCATACATGCCAGGGAATGGATTTCTCCGGCAACTGCCATGTACATTTTGCATCAATTATTGACTAGTACAAATTCGAAAGTGAAATTTGTAGCTGACTATTATAATTGGTTTATTTTTCCAATATTTAATCCCGACGGATATGCGTTTACATTTAATAAGACTCATGGGGTAAAATTTTTTTACACATCTAATATTGTTATTTTAATTACAAATTCAGATTATTTATACAAGTGAACCTTCTTTAATGATTTTTCAGGACCGATTATGGATAAAATCTCGCAAACCGTACAGTCCTAATTGCATTGGAGCAAATCTCAATAGGAACTGGGATTTTCAATGGAATAGTAAGTATTCAGTCTGAATAGAGAAAATTATAATAAGTAATAGAAAAGAGTTATCGAAAATTAAGATTATTTTAGGAGCTTGAAAAGCTTATAATATTGAAATTTATTCGACGATAACATTATAACTTTACGTTCTCAGCTTCTGGTGTCAATAACAATCCTTGTAGTGATATTTTCCCCGGGAGTAAAGCATTCTCAGAAATAGAGATGAAAACTATGTCCGAATATATAAAATCCGTGAACGACCAATTATACGCATATATCGCGTTCCATAGTTATGGCCAACACTTAATGATTCCTTATGGTTATACAAATGCACATATCTCCAACTATGATCATTTGGTAAAAAATTTTATTAGTAAAGAAATATTGTCTTTGAAATATGTATATTTATGATAAAACGAAAATATTGTTTGAAAAGATTTTCATGGTTCTATATGAATACTTTTGCATTAAACACACATTCAAGTTGTTCACTTTTTAATAACTTGCTATGTCTGTGCTTATATTTCCACATTTAATGTGATAATTAAATTCTATAATAGGGATCAATGTAATGTTTGCAATTTCAGCATAATATCAGCTTGAAAGGAATCGAAGCTCTTAGACAGAAATATAACACTGTGTATGATACCGGATGTATTGGCGAGCTTTTTACTAGTATGTAAATTCTTTAATTTATATCTAACGAATAATTTATCGCGTTTAAAAATTATCTTATAATCGTTTTTTCATAACACTATTAACAAAAATAACTTTACAATAATGTTTTATTTTTTCTTTATACAAGATATTTCAGAACCTCAGATAAAGCTGATTCTTTTAATTAAGATTTACCATTTTCTGAAATTTGTGTCTAAGATTCTGAAACACCTTGTATACGCGCGCGTGCGTGCGTGTGTGTGTAAAATTAACATATATTTGTTATTTTGTTTTATTAAATTAAAATATATTGCTTCTTATAAAGTTATAACTAATATAAAATATAATTATTTCTAGATTTGCCGAGCGGTATTAGTGTAGATTACATGGCAGGTGTTTTAAATAAATCCGTTGTCTATCTCTACGAATTGCGCGATAAGCATGAATACGGCTTCTTGTTGTCACCTGAGTACATTATTCCAACTGGAGAGGAGACTCTAGATTCTCTTGTAGCTATGTTTAACGAATTATATCATCTTGACTATGCTAAAAATAATTAAATTTTTATACTTTATTATCATTGATTGCATATTTTTAAATAACAAATATTACATTTTTATGTAATATATCAATAAATAATATGGATTTCGATTAATAGTTGTACTTATTACTAAATTTCTAATTTTCTATGCTTTATTATTATTAGTAAAATAGATCGAATCTTATAAAATTTTGATCTATTTTTTATAATATTGCTTCTTGATATTTTTCATTAGAATTATTTATTGTACATAATTCTTAATTTATTTATTTTAATACTTTCAATAATACAATATTTACAATAATAATTTTTGTTTAAATCAATTTTCTTCCAGCACTCTCTGACTAGATTACCTGTGTTTCCAGATTTAATCTTTTCTTCATATTTTCTTGTTCTCATCCATTACCAACTCTCTCATAATTATTGTATATAATACCTTACATAATTATACCTTGGAGTGCAGAAATCTAAGTTGAAAATCCATCTGACATAGTCTAACATTATCTTTTCTAATTCACCTTCTTCCTCCCAGTCTTATAAATCCACTCCATATGACATCCATTACACTCTGTACCAAATATTTAAATAGCATCCATCTTCTACTAAAGTCATTTCTGCATGGCTTTTCCCCTAAGCCCCATACCTTTCTTGCTACTATTTTTCCTTTTTTACTTATTTCTTTAATATGCCTTTTATAATCCCCATTCCTATCTAAATTAAAACCTAAATATTTAAATTCCTACATCTCATCTAGTTCCTTATTCCCTCATTTCCATTTCTCTTTTCTTTTTCTCCCCTTCCCTTCAGATATCATTATTTTCGTCTTTTCTGTGCACAGCTCCAATTACCTCTCCTCCAAAAATTGTTTGAACGTGCTCATCATATCCTGTAACGCCTCCCTATTATAAGCTACTAAAACTAAGTCATCCGCATATGCTAACGACTATATCCTATCCCTATCTAGTCTTCTCTTATTCCTCTTTTCTTTAATTCATTATCTATGTCCGCAATATAATAAATTGAACAACAATAGACTTATCACACAGCTCTGCCTTACTCCTTTCATTGTTCTGAATTGTTGCGTGTATTTTTGCTTCGACCTTATCCTCACCTCCGTTTCTTCATACATTTTCTCTACCTTCCTTATCAAATATACACCTTTGCCTCTAAGAGTCTTCCAAAGTTTGTCACTATCTATTATACCTTGTCAAAGGCAGCTTTTAAATCAAACATTATGTATATTTTTTTCTTTCCTTCAAGATAAGATTTCATGTAAATTGCATAACGTATATAATTAAATTTATATCTTTTGATATTGACAAAAATACAAAGAATATTTTTTAACTCGTTATATATTACTTAATTGTTGGAACATATTAATTCTAATTAATACTGCTACAAAATGATATCGCTAATTAAAAAATTGTTTTTATTAAATAATAAGTAGATATTTTATTAACCAATAATTAAAACTATTAACAAAATTATTCATTTTTCTCTGGTATAATAACTTAAAAAGTCAATATCTCTTTAAAAAATCTCTTAAAAGAGAGTTTGTAAACAAATCAGGAAAATTTTGTTTTTTTTTTGAGATCCTAAATTTAAATTGAATTTAATTGAATTGTATTTAAATTGAATTAATTTTCAGAAATAAATTGCGAGCCGATAAGATTATCGTCAATCATATTGTTTATACACGCTCGCCTATACATGCTCTATACATATCGGTTATTGCGAAGAATGTTGTTAAGGTCTTGGTAGTTTAAAGGCTTAGAACGGAATGGAAGAGATCCGAGTTCGACTCCCGGCAATATTTTTCGCAATAAGTTTATTAAAATTTTTTAAGATTTGCGAAAAATATTTGGGGGGATTATTTGTTTCAGATTGATTGTGTGAATCCAATAATCTTATCGGCTCACAATTTATTTCTGAAAATTAATTCAATTTAAATGAGATATATTATATAGTAGTTCAACAACTTGACACTCGGACCGGTAAGGTGCTTCGTATTTCAAATTTTAATATAAAGTTTCTTATTGCTGTTTTATATATTGGTAAGCATTTGGTGAGATAAGTGAATTGATTTAAAAGATCTTTTACAGTATTTTATACACTTAAAAATAATTTTATATACTTAAAAATTATTTTGTAGGACTTAGAAATACGTAATATAAGTTTTATTACAAATTTTATTATAAATTATATTATAAATATTGTAGTATTTGTAAGGATTTCGGAAAAAATAAAACTATTTTAAACATAAACAGGTTATTTATATACATATATTTTTGTTTTGTAACATTATTTGTGATTGACATGGCTTCTGCTCAGTTTATATATTTGTATGATCAATTTAGATCGTTGAAGTGCGGAACAGTTGATTGACTCTGTCCATTTGATTGTCTTATTGATTTGTGTCCGGCTAGGTTTTAACTTACAAGCATAAGTTATTTTAAGCCTAACGCAATATTTAGATTAAGCAGGTTTGATTAATTTTTTTTCTCTAATAAATATTCTTAATTTGAATTCTTTTGAGACAGTTAAATATAGATATGTTTGACATTGCCGTGCATTGTGATTACATCGACAATATTATAAATGCCTATATTTATTTTTATTAAATAATTATAATACAAATGTCTATATGCAAATCTTAATAATGTATTCTGTTATATATTAAAATTATTGTTGCCTAATATTAAATATATGTATACATGTATACCAAATATTAAAGTTTTCTACTAAATAATATAGTTTTCTCAAAATATTTATGTAAAACAAATGGTGATGCATATTCACGAATCAATTTAACAATTATTTCTTTACTTCATGGCAAAGCTGATATTTTCTCAGATATGCTATTGTAGATGTGATTTTTATGTAATGTTTTAATAATAATAATTATTATGAATGAAAAAGAACCATAAGACAGAAATATTTTTTTGTGCATATATAAGTGTATCGATTTTTTTTTAAAGAGTTAAATGTAGACATTATATGAATATTTAATAAAAATAATTGTGATTAATCATATCTCAAACATAATATATAATATTGTAATCTAAAAAAATAATCCTTACATAAAAATGAGAAATCTGTTTATACATAGTCATCATGTGGAAAATAATAGTGTTGTGTACTATGATCACGGGTCTAGCTGCTGATAATGTTATTAACGTTAAGGCTTCTTACGAGAATTACAAAGTCTTCAAAATTCATCCGCAAACATACATGCAGTTGGAAGTACTTCAAGCTATGAAAATCTCGAACGAAGTAAATAGATTAATAAATAAAAATAAAGATATGAATAATTTGTATGTAGATTTTTTCTTATAATAGAAAATTAGTTTTGCACACTAATTGATTTTGTTAGTCAATATTTAAAATATAAAGGAAGAGAATCAGTCGTTTTTAGGCCAGTTTAAAATTAAAAAAAAAAATAATTATATTTTCTATTGTATGAGTATTAGGAATAAAAAAACCATTAAGTGAAAAAAACTTGATCCATAAAATCATAAGTAATAAATAGTCTAGATATAGATGTGTGTGTGTCACTATGGTACCTGAGCTCTTTTTAATGAATGTTCTAATAAACGATTTTTATTTGTTATATTGCTACTTTAATAATAATTATATTAATGTTATTTTAGACTAGAATATTTATCATGTTTAAAATAAAGATTAACATATTTCATATATAAAAAAAATTAATTTTTGGTTATTTATGAGTACTCATAACAAATAGGTGATTACTTTTAGTTGCTTACGTATCTACACACCTTACATTATCAAGATGATTGTTGTAGAGGTTTTAATATTCTTTTGTTTTATTTTTTCATTTTGCTTTTTAATTAAATTTTTAATTTTTAAATTTTTTATTATGTTAAATATTACAAACGTAACCTTTGAGCATCTTCTGATGATAATTGCTCAGAATTCGATGATTTTAAGACTTAAATATCATGGTGGTATACCTTATAAATTAATAATTAATTATGACTTTACACGGATCGTTTATTTCTCATTTAATGCTTATTTTTTACATTCTCAATGATCATACAATGCAAAAGAAGTTGTTTATTGAAAATCCTGATCCAAAAAAAGGCGTTACTAACCTTTCTCTTCATATATTCTATACATTTACTCGAAATAATGGAATCACTTTCATACATATACAAATAACTTATAAATAAAGTGTTATGAAATCAAGAATAGAATTATAAGAAATATATATATATTTTCTCAATAAGTTTAAGATTAAATTTCAGTTAATCGAAATTGCGAAATTGAATCTTATTTACAGTTCAGCTATTGGCAAGAACCAACTCATATAGACAAAGAAGTGCATATTATGGTACCTCCGCACAAACTCGCGCATTTCTATGAAATTGTGAGCGATTATAAGATGTTCCCTAGACTCCAAATTCGTAATGTTCAAGAACTAATTAACAATACAATGTCCCAGAATCAATCACAGAAATTTGATTTTAATAGCTATCATGCTCTTGAAAAAATCTACGATAATCTAGATGAACTGGCCAAAAGATATCCTGGTCAAGTGCAAGTTATCGTGGGTGGCAGATCATACGAAGGACGCGAGATCAAAGGCGTAAAAGTCTCAATATCTAATGAAACGAGACCCGGAATTTTCATCGAAGGCGGCATACATGCCAGGGAATGGATTTCGCCAGCAACTGTTATGTACATTTTGCATCAATTATTATTTAGTAATGATACGAATGTAAGACATGTAGCTGACAATCATAATTGGTTTATTTTCCCAATATTTAATCCTGACGGATATGTGTATTCATTTACTAAGGTAAAATTTATTTCACGCGGCGTTATCTAATATATATTATTTAATTTTAATTATACATTGAAACTTTACATAAGTGGACCTTTTTTAATAATTTTCAGGATCGATTATGGACGAAAAATCGCAAACCGTCCAATTCTTTCTGTATTGGATCGAATCTTAATAGAAACTGGAATTTTCAATGGAATGGTATTCAGCAAATAGAAGAGAATAATAAATAATAAAAAGTGTTATATCTAAAATTCATACTTTGAGACAATGTTCTGAAAATCGTTCATCTCCGATTTTGATGGAACTTTGTAAAAAAAGCTTTATTTTGGATTAAAATAAAAACTCTTAAAGGGATTTTTGGCAATTTTTATGTCAAAGCCATTTTTTAAGATAAAATAATATAAAATTAGTAAATGTGTATAATAATGACTAAATTACCGATTTTATTGACTTTAAAGTATGTTAAAAGGAATAACATTGAACATTTTTAAATTAAGATAAAATGTGAATCTGTGTACAATAACTATTGTATATAAATCTCGTTTCATATTGTAAGCAAGACGTGATATGGGACAAATTTTATTTCTCATGGAAAGTATATGCGAAAACAGATTATTTCACTCTTTTTCTTACGTAAAGGTTGTATTTGAAAGATGTACGTAATTTAACCCGAATCAAATTTTAATTTCCAATCGGAAATAAATTTGCATGAAAAGATCGAAATCCATGTAGAACTGAACAATTATATTATAGGTCTCACTTCGCACTATAAACAGAGAGAGATGGATGTCGCTTTACGTGAAAAATTGGAACCCATGGACCTTTCTTCTCCTAATATTATATAATATTTCATGGTCATTGAAATCGGTGATTTGATTAGTATAGATATACATTGTTTTTATTATTTTATCTTTAAAAAAAATGACTTTGTCTTAGGAGTCATCAGAAAATCTTTTAAGAGTTTTGATTTTAATTCAGAATTTTTTACAAAGCTTTATCGAAATCAGAAATGGACGATTTTTGAGATATTATCCTTATTTTAGAAGCTTCAAAGAGCTTATAAAATTAAAATTTATCTAATGTAATGTATTGCAATTTGATATTCTTAGCTTATGACATCAACTATGATCCTTGCAGCGAAATTTATCCTGGAAGCCAGGCATTCTCAGAAACAGAAACGGAATCCATGTCTCTATATATGAGATCTAACCATTTTTACATGTATATTTCATTCCACAGCTATGGACAGCAATTACTATATCCTTGCAGTTATTTAAGCATTCCCCACTATGTAATATTGGTAATAAACTTTATTAAAAAAGAATATTATCTTTGAAATATCGCTATAAAAAGGAAATAAAATTATAGAAGCAACGCATTTTCATAGGTTTACATAACTCCTTCGTATTAAATAAGTTTGAAAGATTGTTCGTTTTATAATAATTCATAGTATTCTTGAAGCTTCCACGGATGCTTTCTATATAAAAGTTATACGTTTCGCGGGTTTCCTCCGTGTCCAGATCCATTCTTGAAATGCTAACGTTTCGTGAACCTTGCAGTCCACTTCATCAGGGCGAAGAGCAGCCTGATACTATAGTATAGAATACTGAGACACGGAGGAAATCCGCGAAACGCATAACTTTTAAATAATTCATAGTATTATATTATTTGCATATTTAATAATATAATTAAATATTACAGTAGAAATTAATATAAAATATTTATGATTTCAGTATCAGATAAACTCGATAGCAATCAAAGCTCTTAAAAAGATATACAATACTCAATATAAAACCGGATGTATTAGCAAGTTCCAAGGTAAAAACACTTAATTGTTTAGTATAATTTATCGCGCACAATAAGATTTTTTCTCGTTTTTTAATTCATAATAATAATATTTATATTATTAATAATATATTAATAATTATATTATAAAATTTTATTTTATTTTATTTTTTCATTAAATTAAAAGATACGCTGCTTCTTATAACTAGTGTCAAATAATTTTTAGAGTTGAGTGGTCTTAGTATAAATTACGTCGCAAATGTTGTCCGCACACCCATTGTATATCTCTACGCATTGGACGATAAAAGTGAATATAGCTTCTTGTTACCACCTAAGCAGATCATTCCGACTGGAAAGAATACTTTTGACTTTTTTATAGCTATATGTAATGAGACATTGTCACATTATAATGCTTTACCAATTGCAACTCATTCTTGAAACGTTAAATTTTTATAATTTATTGTTTCTTTGTTATATACTTTTATTTGATACATGACAATTAATATTACATTTTCAAGTAATCCATCAAATAATAACAAATAAATTTCGATATTTTTTTAATATGTAAGATGTCTTAAATTTGTTGTGTTTTTGTTGTTTATATCATCGACATTACTTATATATGTATATTTACAAAAAAGCCCAATTATCTTTTACAATATTGTTTTTTAACATTTATTAGTAGAATTAATTATTAAATAAAATTTTCAATTTATGTATTTTAATACATACAACTTTTGTTTATAATAGATTAAAGAAGTGATGATGATTTTATAATAAGATTAAACTATTTAGATTAATATAACAATATTTAAGAATTATTATTTTTAAGAGAATATTCTGTTTATATATAAAATAAACATAGATTAATAATAAAAAATAGTATAATTGACATTTAATGATTCTAAGTATCAGGCTCCTCGCCTTGATAAAGTGGACTGCAAGGTTCACGAAACGTTGGCAACGTTGACAAGAATGGATCTGGACACGAAGAAAACCCGTGAAACACATAATCTTTATAGACACAGTAATATATTAATATGTTATATATTTATATGCTTATAAATGATGTTTTTAAATAATTTATTGTTGTGTTGATTACATATTTTTATATAACGAAAATGACAAACGTATTATATTTCTGTGTAATCTACGGATGAATAATAACAAATAAATTTTGATATTAGATTTATTAAGTATATAATTTTGATATTACGTATATTAAGTATGTATTGAAAATTTGAGTTTTTCATGCTTTTGTCATTGTTATCAGCGGAATTACCTGTATCTTTGAAAATAATCGATTTATATTTTAGGATATCACTTTTTGACATTAAAATGTATAAACAAAATAAACAAAATAAATGGCGAAAAAGAGTCGTCGCATAATATATTTTATTAAAGATAATAGTCATAGATACATAAAATAAAAAGTAAAACGGCATATATTAAAATATAAAACAAACAAGTTTCGGCTGCTGGATTGAGCCCTCCTCAGATGTAAAAAGAATATAATTCGAAAAGACATAAAAGATTACAACAAAAAAAAATAATAAATCGATAACATTCAGTGACGCAACATTTTTAACGCGCGGAAATCAGCAATTGTGATAGATCTCGATGTAAGGATAATGTAATGTAAGGATAAATTATATTATTTGATAATCCATCGTCTTTATTGAAGTTCTCTAAATCTCTAAACACCTTTTTTTAAGCATTTTTTGTGGAGAGTGTGATAAAATATTGATTAATGAAAGGGAATCGAAAAAAAAAATTTTTTTTTTTAAATAATGTATGTTTTTCTATATTTAAAGGGATAAACAATTAGTATATTACTGATTTTGATTTTTTTTTGATCTTTTATTAAATATATTTAAAGACTTCGCAAAGAGGCTGTATTTTGAACACGAACAAGTTATCAACATATATGTTGTTGTTTTGAATGTCTTATTTTAAATGATACGTCTGTTACTGATTTGAATCCAGTTGCTGGAAATTGATATCGATTTTTTAGAAGACAATATTAGTAGATTCTTTTCATCGTATTTTGTGTTTGCATTACTATTTATATGGTTGGCTCTTATCTTTTACCTACTAAACACTCCTGATATTACGGATTATGCGAATATTTATCTTAAGCAGGTTTGATCATAATTATATTAATATAATAAAATGTATTTAACTTGCATTTATTGGATAATTTTCTCAACTTTTTACTTACAATTATATCATAATATTTAACCAATTGTTTTTCAAATAATGTTAGATATTTATATTACATCATTAATATGCATTTATAATGACTACGGTGAACAAAACTGCAGATACGTATGTCAATGTCTCTTAATCTACAAAGAAATATTCTAAATTATTTTGAACTTAAGAATTTATCTGACAACAGATTTTAACAATTAAATTTTTTTATAAGAATGATATATTGCAATATGATAAGAAAGTAGATTTTTACTGCAACAATTATTAAAAATCTTTTTGTACAGAGATATTATGTGGAAGTTAACAGTGTTATCTACGATTGTAATCATAATTACTGCTCAGAAGGCAACATATGATAATTATAAAGTCTTTAGGATTACTCCAACCACGCAGAAACATATCACACTACTTCGTGAATTAACAAAATTTCATGATAGAGTAAGACTTTTAGATATAAACATTATGAACATAAGCACTACAGAATTGTAAAGACATTTTTTCTTCGCAAAAATCAGTCATATAAATTCATTGTTATAATTTTAAAAATTTATTTTGCAAACTTCAAATAATTTATCCAATATTCATAAATTCAATTTTACATATATACATAATAAATTAGATTTTTGTTATATATAATTATATAAAATTAGGTTTACGAATTCTTATGAACATTAAAATTAATTACGCTAAAAATTTAAATAATTACGCTTAAATCTCATTTACAGTTTATATTTTGGGAAACACCAGTCTTGGTAAACGTGACATTAAATCTTATGGTAGTCCCAAATTATCTACCGCAATTTTACGAAGTGATAACTCAAATCGGTGTACCCTATTATATTAATATTGAAAATGTTCAAACACTAATTGACCAAACAATGCCTCGTTATAAATCAACGTTTGATTTTAAGAGCTATCATAGTCTTGAAATAATCTACAATAACATGGATGACTTGGCCAAACAATATCCTAACAAAGTGAAGATTATTGTAGGCGGCAAGACATACGAGAAACGTCAGATCAAAGGCGTCCAAGTTTCTTTTAAGCCCAACAATCCCGGAATCTTCCTTGAGGGTGGCATTCATGCCAGGGAATGGATATCGCCGGCGACTGTTATGTACATTCTGCATCAGTTACTGGTTAGCAATAACTCGGACATTAGAAATCTGGCTGATAGCCATGATTGGTACATATTCCCTTTGTTCAATCCCGATGGATATGTATACACGCACAAGATGGTAAATCTTATTTTTTAGCGTTACATAGAATTATATACTAATTTATGCGAATTAAGTTAATGATATACATAAATATACATAAAATAAATGTTATTATATATGCTCCCAGGATCGCTTATGGAGAAAGAATCGTAAACCGCAAAATCTATTTTGCATTGGTACAGATCTCAATAGGAATTGGAACTACAAATGGAATAGTAAGTGCTTATATGTTCTGTGAACACAGCTCCTTAGTAATTAGCTAATGCTATAAACCGACACTTTCAGCTACTGGTGTCAGCAAAAATCCGTGCTTCAATTCTTATCCTGGAAGTAAACCTTTCTCTGAAATAGAAACAAAGAGCATGTCGAAGTATATTCAATCTATTTCTAATAAATTTTATGCGTATATCTCATTTCATAGTTTTAAGCAACTTTTAATGTTCCCTTATGGTCATACAAAAATCCACCTCGACAATTATGACGAATTGGTATGATATTTTATTATGTAGATATTGTAATTGTTAGAAATATTTAGTATAAAAAAAATTATGTTTTATAATAAATTATCTAACTTTATCTCTACTTTACTATTATCTATTATTATTATTATCAACATGTTTTTGACATTTTTAAATTAGTTTGAAATTTTTTTTTAATTAATCTCATTTTTATCATTTAATATGGTATTGACAAATCCAGATTGAATTATTCTACATATATTCGTATTTTTAGTATGCCATTGGTTTAAAAGCAATTGCAGCTCTTAAAAAAAAATACGGTACCGAGTATCGAATTGGAAATATTGCTGAAACAATTTGTAAGTAAAACAATTTTATCTTATCTTATTTATAATGTTATTATTTCTGCATACATGTGGTTGAGTAATGTTTAATTATATAAACTATAAAATAGACAGGTTTATAAGAAAATTTTCTTTATTCTGATTGTAAAAAATGAGAAATGTAAGCTAATTTCAAATATTACATTTGAAGATAAATATAGTTGCAAAAAATCAAAGTACTATTTTTTTTTAATTTACACTTTTCATTTTAGATTTGGTCTCCGGAACTACTATAGATTACATCAAAGGTACTTATAATAAGCATATCGTTTATGTGTACGAGTTGCGCGATCGCGGTCATTACGCTTTCTTGTTACCTCCTGATCAAATTATTCCAACTGGAGTAGAGACTCTAGACTCTCTTGTAACCATATTTAAGGAGATAACAATGTATAAAAATATCAGAAATGATTTGTAAAATTTGATGTTGCTAACAATAAGTAATATTATATCGATGAAATTTTTATTTATCTGACTTTTTATAATTATTGATATTTTAGTTCAGTTTTTCTTGAGTTTATGATATAATGTTGTTAATAAATTTTGATTTAATCTGAATTACGTTACAATGTTTTAACATTCCTGTGCTCGATTAAACAAAATTAGACATGTGTCATCTAGAGATGGCACATCTAGAGATGTTTCAGATCCATGCCTTATTCTTTTAATTTCTCAAAACTTTATTTACTGTATTTTATTGTATATTTCAATCATCTGACTTATTCGCGTTTATTTAAATTTTTGATTGATTTCTTTTGTATCCTAATGAAGCAATTAAAAAATTGTTGATGTTTTTAGTTGCATAACATTTAATTTGTTTCATGATAAGTCAATAAAATTACAAAATGTAAAAAAAATTACATTTTTATTATATATTAATGTAGCTGGATTTTAAGACAATAAATTATTAGAGTCTATGAAATTAAATATATTCTAATTTCTCTGGCGTCAGAAGAGGCCGGACAACGCCGTAAAGCACCTGAAGATACTGTTTTAGCGCTCAGGAGTAACGACATACTAAAATTATAAAGAATGTATTTAAAAAATTCAAGATGACTTCAACCCAAGAACAACTTGTCTTCAAGTAAGGTCATCGTCTTCTCTTCATCTCAAATTTTTAATCAGTGGGTTAACTAAGCGTTGACTTGATAACTTTCAGGCACCATAATTTGAAAAACATTTTGAAAAAAATAATAAAAAATGGTACTAATGAAAAAATACCTTATAGTGTTTTAAAAAGATTTTGAAGTATCTACATAAACATGAAATAAAAAATAGTGATTTTATTTAAAAAAATTTTAAATAATATTGACCTGACTTTAAGAACATCTTCTTAAGATCAATCAATCAATCACCGTCTTCTTTCCCCTTAGTAATCGAGCAACTTTTGTGTCTGAAACATTATTATTGCCAATTTCTTTACCTCTAAATAAATTGCCAATAACTTTATCTATGAGATATCTTCCAGATATCTCCCAGATATCATTTATTTATGATATATCTAGGACTATTCATGAATAAAGTTGTCTAGGGATAAAGAAATTGATTATTAACTCTAAGGATTTTGAGATATTCTAGTGGATTAATTAAAATAGACCATTCTATATATATGAAAACAATAATATATCGAAATTAAAAAAATTTATTTAAATATAACTGCATAAATTAAATAATTTAGTAAATAATTTAATAATTTTATGCTCTTACACTGAAACAAATAATATTGTATCAACAGCATTATTTTAATTAAAAATAATTTTGTTAATTTAATAATACTATTAATAAAATAAATGCTTTTGTTTTAATGAAATTTTATTTGTTTCATTAATATTGTTGTCAAATCAATAAGATTATTTTCAATTAAAATAATGCTGTTGAAACAATATCATTTTCTTTCTGCATAGCAATATTTCCATTGCGCGAGAAAATGATCATCTTAAGTTTAATAAGTGTACAAGTAAATATGTATACAGATGGCTAATACAAGTGTCGATATAAGAGACTTGTAAAAAATGCATATAAATGTATATTTAATGTACAGGATGAGGCAAAAGAAATTTTTAGCGTAAGAACAATCTTAAAAATGATTTTAACAAATGTTATCAAGGTCATAATTCTGAACAATACTTGAAAGATTTTAATCGTCAGTTGAATACCATAGATAATGCTAGCGACATTGTAATTTTCATGTCTTATAACTCAAAAAGTAGCTAATAGAAAAATGTTTTATTATAGTGTTTTGAAAAATTCTCAAGATAAACTACAAGAATATATAATATATGTGAAAAATCGGTTTTAAAAAATCGATTTGACCTTGAATCTTGGCGACGTTACTAAGGTCAAATTGATAAGATCAGTAAAAAGATCTTCTTAAATCCTATAACTTTTCTGTAATACTTATATTTTCCGAGATATTTAAAGGTTTTTTTATTTTTGACTCACCCTGTATAAAATTCTACGTCAAAACTCTAATAGTAAATTAGTGCGATAATGAAAGTTTAGTGCCGTGCGCAACTAGGTATTTAAATTAATGAACCTCATAATATCGGTAATTACCAGTGCTCTGTTTTATAGAAAAGTAAGCTCTCTTCTTGGAATATAAATTGTTCATATATTACAAGAATTGCGTATTTTATTGCTTAAATCACAATTGATATTTGCTCGTAAGTGGATTTAAATTACATTATGTCTGTATATAATGAAATAATATTTATATAAAGTAATACATATTAATTTAATATGAATTTAATTTATAATTATAAAATAATATAAAATAAATTTTTATTATAATTGTAATCCTAAAATATTAACTGAAATTGATATTTGCGCATTAAAATTAAAGGGAACTAATTATTATGTGGAAGTTATTAATATTTTGCACGATCGTGGGTCTTGTGGTTGCCGAGCAGGCTACTTTTAACAATTACAAGGTCATCAGATTCAATGCTACACCGAGACAGACGAAGTTGTTTTACGAGTTGACAAAAAATCATGATGGAGTAAGTAGATTTTTCAAGCAGAAACACAAGTAAAATTAAATTAATATACTTTGTATAACATTACTGAAAGAAATTCTGCTTAAAAATGGACAACTCAGAAGATTTTGCTCGTATTACCATTTAAATCCTGGTTATTTCAAGAGTTATTCTGATTCATTTTTAACCAAGAATTTTAATTAATGTAATCAGACTTTCTCCAATAATTTCTGAAAATTTATCTTTTTTAAAAAATTTATAATACTTGATTAACTATAAAATTCAAAAAATAAATTTCACAAAAATAGTATAATATACATAAATTTATAAAATTTATAAAATCAACTATTTATTTCTATAAATTTATTAAATTATTTATTATATTATGTAACATTTACAAGTTATAAAAACTGACAAATTTGTAAGTAATTTTTTGAACTAAAATTATTATTGCTATTAAATAAATAGTATTAAATCTCATTTATAGTTTTCCTACTGGGTTGCACCGTTTGCGAATAAACAAGCGGAACTTATGATAGCTCCGCACAAGCTGCCTGAATTCTATAAAATGATGAAGCAGATGCAAATACCCTATACAGTTTTTATTGAAAATGTTCAGGCATTAATCAATCGAGCAGCACCCGCAAATGCATCGTCAACATTTGATTTTAAAAATTATCATAGATTAAACGTAATTAACAAGAATCTAGATGACTTGGCGAAACAATATCCCAAAATTGTGCAAACTGTTGTGGGCGGCAACACGTATGAGGGGCGTCTAATCAAAGGTGTCAAGGTTTCCTTTAAAGCTAATAATCCTGGAGTCTTTATTGAGGGTGGTATTCACGCTAGAGAATGGATCTCGACAGCAACTGTTATGTATATCTTGCATCAATTGTTAAAAAGCGACAATCCAGAGATCAGAGCTCTGGCTGAGAGCAACGATTGGTATATCTTCCCATCATTCAATCCCGACGGATACGAGTACACGCACACCAAAGTAAATTATATTTTATAATATCACATAGAGCATTCTTCGCTAATTATAAATTAATTATATGAATATTTTTAATTTATCTTAGAACCGATTATGGAGAAAAACACGTAAACAGTATAATTTATGTTATGGCAGTGATCCCAACAGAAACTGGGGTTATAAATGGAATAGTAAGAATTTGTATTATGTTAGAAAAAATTGTTTTATGTAATAGTAAAAAATTAAATATTATCTAATAAAAAATCGAAATTAATTTATAGACTTTGAAAATTAGCGCGATAATTTTTAATATTATTTACAAACATGTACTTATATAATTTGATATTATCAGCTGGAGGCTCTAGCAATTCTCCATGTTCCGAAACCTATGCTGGAAATGCACCATTCTCCGAAATTGAGACAAAGACCATGTCCAAATATATCGATTCTATTTCTCACCTATTCTACGCATATATCGCGTTTCATAGTTACTCGCAATTGTTGTTGATTCCATATGGTCACACAACGGCTCACCTTGATAACTATGACGACTTGGTAAGTATTGTAATTTTAATTATAGAGTATTTAAATGTAAACTATAATTCAATAATTAGTTTAAGAATAGATGTAAATCAGCCAACACAGGTTAGGCATGTGTGAAATCGTATACTTTATCCTTGAGAAAAATTGACAAACCTTTCAACTCTTTCGATTAGGTCTTCCTCAGTGTAAAAATAAAAATATTCAATAATTAGTAAAAAAATAAAAGAAACCAATGTTATCGGATATTATATATATTAGTATATTTAAATGGAATAAAGTTTCTAAAGAAGATCGATAAAAGTTTATTTTTAGTGCAGAGATCATTGCAAGTATTTGAGAGTGAATTAATCTGCAGCCTAAAATTCTTTTTCCCGAGAAATATATAAAAGGAAGAAAATATGTCTCAGAACTCCAGTGTATTAAAAATCAAATAGATTATATTAAAAATTAATATGACTTAAATTACTATGTTTCTCTTATTTTTTGTATAATTATTGAATTATAATTAAAAATTTGAGCTTTCCAAGTAAAATAAATATAATTTTGAAATTTATTATAAAATTCATATTAGAAAAATTCATAATAAAATAATTATGTATCATAGAGAACAGTATTAAACTGATAAAACAATCAATTTTTCTATAATTATTTCTATATTTATTAGTGAGACAGTATTATCAACTAAATTACAAGTAAATGCAAATAATTGTATATACAATCACTTTACAATCCGTTGACAGCACAGTGTTTTCGGGTAAATTTCCGATTTCAATGTTACAGTTCATCGAGGCAGTAATAAATTATTTTAAATAAAAACGTAATTATTTAGAAGAAGTATTTAAAACATTGTGCATTATTCCAAAAAATTTAAATAATTACTTATAAAAATAATAGAACAAAATTTATATGTTTATATGTTTATATTATTATTTATATTATATCCTTTTTATTGTTTATATTATTTCTATGATTTTTAGTATGATATTGGCATGAAATCGGCTACAGCCCTTAAAAAGAAATATGGAACTCATTATACGGTCGGAAATGTTGCAGAGACAATATGTACGTAAAAAATTTCATTAAATTTGTCTTCTCTTTCTTTTTCTCATTTTCTATCTACCTATCCATCTATCTATCTATCTATCAATCTGTCTTGTCATAACTAAATACGTTTAGTTTTTCGAAAATTGATTTATTGTTGACAATTTTTTAATTCTATTATATTTAAAACGTTGTAAAATTGAATAATTATTGCAATCTTTTAAATTAAGATAATTGTATAAAAATATGGTTCTTTAAGCTCCTTTTTTTTTGTAAAATTGTTTTCAGATGTGGCATCCGGAGGTTCTATGGATTGGGTTAAAGGCACTTATGATACACCTATCACCTACACTTATGAGTTACGTGATACGGGTCATTACGGTTTTTTGTTGCCAGCTGATCAAATTATTCCGACTGGAGAAGAGATTATGGATTCTCTTGTGACCATGTTTAAAGAAGCAAAGAAACGTGGATATCCCAGAAAAACTAGAAAAATTGAAGCTAACTAAATTTTTAAATATAAATATTATTACTGATGGCATATTTTTATGTTTGACGATTTGCTAATTCTTTTTCAATATCTGTAATCTATAATACAATAATGTCTTACAATAGTATTTTTGTTTTTAATGATACATGATGTTTTGAATTAAAAATTAATGATTTGCAATTTAATCAGTTAAATTATTATTAAATAGGCGCCAACATTATATTTAATAATAATTTAACTGATTAAATTGCAAATCATTAATTTTTAATTTAAAAGAAGAACAATCTGAAGAACAATCTCATAAAATGATGAGATTGTTTATTTTTCTGACAATTATTGCCAGATAATTAATATTTTTGGCAATAATTGTAAATTTATGTCATGTATTATTAAATGAAAAAATCGTATTCTATTTACATAAAATAAATTGTATTATAAATGAATGTAAATACACAGTTGGAAAAAATGTGTTGTATTTAACATAAATCGCATGTCCCAAACGTTCCACTCAAATTTTTGAATTAATTTTACATAAGATGAATATATTAGAAAGTAACATAAATATTATGTAATAGAATAAATATAAACAAAGATAACATCGACATAGTTCGTAAACAAACCATGAAAGCATATTTTTTGTCAGAAAATTAACATTTATGATATGTTATATTAATACGGATTTTATTCCTTTGTCTTAGAATTTACATTTTAAAACACATTATTTTATGTTACTTGTTCACTTACTCGTATCATAAATCATGCCATTTTGACACTAAAAAACATTGAATATCAATTTCACAAAAAAATCTTTAAATATAATATTATAATATAATCACATTATGTTAAATTAACATTCGAATATGTTAAAAAAATTCAACACAAACTGTTAACACAAACATGAGTGGACCGTTTCCAACACAAATACACAAATTTTTTTATTTTGTAGATTGTAGTATTTATTATAAATTGTACAACAAATAAAATAATGAATAATAAAAAACATGTATCTAAAGAAAAAAAGGTCACCGATTGAGATCGGCGAGGATGCTGGAGAGTCTCTATAAGGTTTTTGCAATATGGTCGATACAAGTTATAAAGGAGCATTTTTTTTCGTATCAGTGGAGGCAGGAAAGTTGAATATAGAACACAACCAGTGTAATGGATGTTCTCGGAACATATATTATTACACAGAAAGTAAGCTGTTTTATAGAAACGAAGAACATGTTCGGAGTATATCAAGTCTGTTTCTAATGTACAACTCGTTTTCATAATTATCCGCAATTTTTCGTATATTCACTTACAGTTACATCAAAGAGTATCTTGATAACTATGAAGATTTGATAAGAAATTATATTAGAAAAGACATATACTTGAAAAAATATTAATAATAAAAAAAATATTTCTAAAAATAATATAACAGTTATATATATATTATATATAGCCTATTATATATATAT